TTTTAATCAAGGATAAATGTAGATGTCTATGGGCCTAAGCATCCACTTACCATCAGGTGGACTGTGTGCTTATTTTCTTTTGGTAAATATGTGCTATTTTGAGTTCTTCTTTGCCATAAGACATTTTGTAATATGAAATGAGAAGGCTGTTATTTTCACATTTAAGAATTTTAATATCGGCATTCTTCACAAAGACACTTCTTGATTTTTTGCCCTTTTTGCCCTCATCTGAGCACAAGCATGTTCCCAATCATAAAAAGCTTCCATGCACATTTTATTTATATGGTGTCTTGTATGGTTATAGATTCTTTCTAGCTCATTAAATAGCTTCAATAAGTGCCTCATGGGAGTGCATTAGCTCAGCTTCGAGTAGCTTCTTTATCTGGACTTTCTATTAGTGTATGTGCAGTATCTCCTTGTGTGTTGTGTGTGGCTGTTTATAAACTATTTATTCAAGACCTATTGAATGTTAGATAACTTTTATTCTGCAAATAAGTACCGTGCTATCATTGATTTGTGCTACTTGCCTGCACAATTGTCCAAGTAAAAGATAATGTCTTGTTTTTAAACAAAAAACTACAAATGAACTTGCAGTTATTTCTATACCTTAATAAGGGGCTACTGCAGTCAGCATAGATGCATTGTCAGCCTCGGGGGCTAAGATGGAATACCTTACAGGCTATAATTATATTGGTTCTATATATTTTTTACAAGGTAGAGCCATGCTACAGCTATATTAATTGTATAGTTGTAGCACGAATGGGTTGACTGGGGAAGGACCACACTCTCACAGAATACCAGCATCAAATAGCAGCTTAATGCTGCTGTGTTTCGTATGGTGCGTGTAGAGAACTGGAGACCCTTTTTACTGGAAAAGAGGCATTCCATCTTGGTCCTCAAGGCTGACGACGCATCTTCATTTTGATTCGCAAACGAGGATAGATGTAGATGTCTATGGGCCACAGCAACCACTTACCATAATGTGGTCTGTGTGCTCGCTTGTCACCCTTTTCCTATAAAAAAAACCGTTCAGACTGGAACACAGCAGTGAAGAAGTCCAACCACCTAGTGTTATCTCCACCACTAGTTGGTGAATGCTGTGCCAGGTACTTAAAAATGCACATTCCTGAGAAATCAACCCCTATGTTCGCATTGAACTCATCCTACACATAGCATGCTGTAGTTTTATTTCCAGGTCGCAAATTGTTAAAATTAGCATGTTTAACTTACATGTGAATTTTGCAAAACGCCACTATATCTCTTTCTTCAGCTCTATTTACTTTTCAAGGCAACAAAACTTTTATTTTTGGAGTGTTTCTTGTTTTCGAAGGCTGCAAAGAAAAGATTTCTATTGAGTGTGTTACTCAACAGAAATCTTTTTTGGGTGTAAAGAAAGAAATATTTTATTCTTCTTTAAATATCCTATAATATAGAAAATAGTTTGAAAATGTTTTGTTTTTGGGTTTCTATATAATTATTGTTTTAATATCTGCAATACTCGCAATTCCTTCATTAAAATCTGCTTGTATTAACTCTGGTATAATGTAATTCTTTTTTGGGAACAGATTTATCATGTCCCCTTATACCGATTTTGACAGTCATCAACATGCTTGTGGGTATCTTCAGGCTATCTTTATATATACAAATTATGTATCACATTGTTTGTCTGTGATTAACTCCGAATACCATTTAACCCATTTTAATATAATTTTGTAAATGTGTATTGCTCGCTTCAGCTTGAGAGTTAAGACAGTTTTATCCTGATAATTGCCCCTTAATATTTTTTATTGTGAATTTAAATATTTTTTTAAAGGATGAAGGGTCATCAGAAAGAGCAGAATAAAGTCTACCTGCCCAGGTAGTTTTATATATAATAAATAATAATATACTTTTAATCAAATTAAAAGTGTTTTTGGATGAAAGTTCCTGTATTGTACCACCTCTAAGCCCTAACAAAAGGACACAACACGTTTTTATAAGAAATTAGGCAGGCATATTATATAATTCAATGAATTAAACATTACAAATATATGTAAATAGTATTGTAAGGAATCATCAGCTATGGATTTTGCTTATTCAGTATTGTCAGATTTTTAAATGTTATTCAAGTAAGTTACTGTAAAGGCTATGTGTTATGAGAACAGTAATAATTTTTACATCATACATATAAAAATTGTTAATGTGATATCAATATTTAATGTAATATATTAATTAATTTTCTCTTCTTCTAGATCTTTGAATTGTAAAAATCGAAGTTGTATGTATGTATATTATTTTACATTTATGTAAACTCCCTCTATGATAAGCAGAAATTCCTAGTAAGGAGGTTACTTTTAAAAACCCCTAAATAAATAGAGAAAGAAATATATTATAGAACATAGTTCTGTTTATGTCCACCAGCAGGACTGTTTATATTTCCTTCAAATTTTACTTGATGACTAAACTTATCCTGAGAGCAGTGGCAGAAAATAAACTGTCATAATACTTTTAAATTTTGAAAAATGTGTAAATTTACAAAATGGTCCCTAGGTCTCAAGGTCCCTTTATTGGGGGCGAGTCTCACCACCCGTGTCTGTGACAGGTCTCAAACCAATCATCACATTGAACCACTGTAAAAACATATGTTTTATGTTTATTTTAATACATATGTACTTTATATCAATTATTATTCAACTAAGTAAACATTATATGTGGAAAGAAACTACATGTAACCATAGAGAACATTGTTGTTTATAAAATAACGATATGTTTTATAATGAGTACTTATTGTTCATGTCAAATTTATTTTAAAGTATAATTTATTTTAGTTTTGAAATAATTTTATTGTATTTTCCTTTTGTACACCATAATCAGGAAAAGGTTTTGACAGCCTTGCAGCATTGTAACTTTATAATGTAGCAGAATATATAGATAATAAAATAAATCATTTACTTTATTTATATATATATATATATATATATATATATATATATATATATATATATAATACAGACATGGTTCAGTATAAGTAATAAGAGCGAATGGTAAAGAAAAAATTTATTAAAAGAAACCCAATAATTCTGTCTTTTTTTTTTCTTTTAAATCCAGAATGCGTGATATTTTTGTGTTAATTCATTATTTTAATTGATTTTTATACATAAATATCTCTATCTTACTACGCACGCACACATTCATAAGGGTCACTCAGTCGGAAAAAACGTGAATGAACCACACACGGAAAGTAAAAGCCTCATTTACTCGAATTTTAAATCAATATCTTCTCTGCTTAGCCTGAAGGTAGACTGGTAGAGAATGCCTTGGCATTAAGTCCACCTTTTTATACTTGGTGTGCAAACAAAGCATAAATAAAACAAACAAACGATTGTAACGTCAACACATCTCGTGTTGACATTTATACGTGTGAATTGACGTGTTAGTGACATTTTAGTGGCTACGCGGGCTCCGCCCACTCCCCCGTTCTATTATGTATGTATTATAGTATTCTATGCGGTGTATCATTATTTATTTCTTTAATTGATAGTAAATATAAAATTTGGATACTCTTTGAAAAATAACCCTATATGTAGATGTAAATGACAAAAAACATTATACGAAATCGAAGGTGACAATGGCCGTAAACATTAGTATCTTTCTAGGGTTTGTATGTGTAAACCTTAACGGCTGCATATTATGTGATAATGTACGAATTAACAAGTTCCAAGCATTAAGCAATAGAAGAACGAAGCAACTTTTTGTTCTGGTCTTAAGCTAATGATAATTATTGATCTAAGCATACCTTATTTCATTATATTAATGATAGGTTAAATAATGTATTATAAGGCTGAATATCATATTACGTATAATTATTTTAATTTTAATAAAACCAATTTTTAATAATCAAATTGTTTATTTTCATTTATTATTTTTGTGTGCAACTTTATAAAAATCATATTGTGCACAAACGGTTGTTGGAGAGAATTGATAGAATTTTCGGAGCAGAGAAGGAAAAGATCTCACTTCAAATGTTTATAGAATACATAGTTCACCTGATGGTGAAGTGTATCACGTAGCTCATGGGCACCTAAATCTATACTTGATAAATTATCATAACGTATTGATTAAAACTACTTTTACGGATTTTTTGTTAATTTTAATTATTTTTATTTTTGATTCCCGAAGTTTCAGGCGCTTTCCAGCACCCATAGTCACAGGGGACTGAGGTGACTAACGTCCCGATGTCATTGTTAAACCCGGAGTACCTTCAGCTTTTTTAATTATTGTTTATGGTCCGATCTATGCAGTCCTCCGTGACCATGGGTGCTGTAAAGCACCCGAAACGTCGGGAATTAAAAATAAAATCCGTAAAAGTAGTTTGAATCAATGTGTAGTGTTCACGTAAATATAAGAAATCATTATCATAATGTAGATACATTGTTACCCCTGAAGACTAAGAAAACCTTATTACCCGTATAAAAGGGTGTCCAGGTTTCTACACTCACAATACAAAACAGCAGCATTGCTGATATTCTTGAGAGCATGGTCCCACCCCATTCGAGCCGACCTATTTGTGATGCAACTATAATAATATAGCTGCAGTAGAGCTCTATCATGTCAAAAGTAGCATTCTTTGAACTTTTAAGTACTAAATTTGCAATGCATTACAGTTTTGCAGCATACTGAAGCGGAGAATGAGTTAATTCAGTTTTTGATATTTAGTTTAATTTCAATATGCAATAATAAATATATTAATTAATTTGCAACCTTCCACTCACTAAATACAATGACGTGTCTTACCTGGATTGAAGAGCACCTCCCGCCCTCCCTCAATTGCGTGCACCAATCCCGTCACCACTAATCCCACCAAAACCAGGTAAGACACATCATTGTATTTAGTGAGAGGAAGGTTGCAAATTAATAAATATATTTTTTATATTGGATTTCCGCAAAGTAACGCCTGATTCTATCAATTCAATATGCAAGTTTAAGATTATTTTCATTGTTATTGTTCTGTGATCTCATTGTTAGAATATTTTGTGCTGCGAACGTTCGTGGGATTTCTTAGCGCACAGTTGGGCAAAGGCAGCGGGACACTGCGAACATTTATGCGGCTTCTCGCCAGTGTGGGTGCGCCGGTGGTGTATCAGCACTCGGTTCGTCTGTAATACAGATTGTTTCCATTGTAATTCACTACTGCCATCTATATTCCATACAATCATACTATGATAACATTTAAAATTTATACAGGGAAACATATAATTGGCTGTTATAATCATTTATGAATTATTGTCATTGTTTTTTTAAAGAATAGAGTGACAAACGAGCACACAGTCCACCTGATGGTAAGTGGTTGCTGTGACCCATAGACATCTACATCTATCTTTGATTACGAATCAAAATGCAGATGCGTTGTCACCCGTGAGGACTAAGATGGAATGCCTTATTTCCAGTAAAAAGGGTCTCCGGTTCTCTACACTCACCATACGAAACACAGCAGCATTAAGCTACTATTTGACGCTGGTATTCTGTGTAGTTACATTTGATTTTGCTGTTGATTATCTGAATAAATAAATATATAGGTCGTAGAACTGCTTTCGTCACTAATCAATTCATTACTGATAAAATCATGTGACATCCTAATTGGCGACACCATTCGCCGTGGCGAAGCAACGTTTTTCAAATTGTGGAAAGCCTAGGTTGAGCAGTGGATCTTTATAGGCTCTTAGCATATATATATATATATATATATATATATTTTTTATATATAAGGTTAAAACATAGACTAAAAAGGGATCATTGGCTTTAAATTTGGCATTAAAATTTTTGACGGTTCCGTGGCGCATTGGCTTAGCAATGAGTTACAGCGTTAAAGGCCGCGGGTTCGAATTCCGTACGGAACAAGTATTTGTATGGCCTACAAGTAATTGTTCCGGGTCTGGATGTTTGTCCTTGTGCAATTTCTGTTTGTAAACTGCTCCACGATACAGGAGAAAATCCTAGTATAGAGGTAACGTTTAAAAAAAAAAAAGAGCCAATGATCTTGTGCTCACTAGATGTCGTTAGTTGAGGGACTAAGGTAGTTCTTTGTTAGGCAGATGGTCACACACTGCTATCATAATTGAAGATGGATTTTAAATAAAAGTTTTGGTTTCTGGTGTATATATTTGTGTTACGGACCAAGTGATTAATCAGGGCACTATTTATAATTAAAGTTGTTCAAAACAACTATAAATCAAGAGCACGCTACAGACTATAAACTATAAATTTCTAGCGCGCTATTAAATACGCTATGTTATAGCAAGCTATTTATAAGAAAGCGTGTAGGAGGCCGGCAAGCGACTTAAGTTTTGCAACATGCTATATCTCGTAGCACGTTACATTACATGTCGTTCAATGGATAGACCGCGTGCTATATAAGAAAATTATTTCGTAATAAGTCGCGTTGTAGACTAAAATAAAATAAAGCCGTAAAGAAAAACCAATGAACGATTTTTCATACTTTTCAGGCTTACGACTTTCTATAATCATAAAAAAATTTTAAGGCATGTACTTTTTAAAACCAAATAAAATTAATTATTTTTTTTTATTATAATTGATGTAAATGTTATTTTAACCTTAATATAAATTATAAATCAAATAAAGGTGTATTTAAAAGTTTATTGATTTTATTTATAATAATCAATGATTTACATACACTATTATATACATTTTTGTGTCCGTATTTTATTTACATGTAAAAATATTAGTTAGGCTTCTTTTATAGCAGACAACTGTGACCTTCGATCACTTATAAATATACAGTATGCACTAACTAAACAACGTCTACACTAAATTAGTTGGCGCGCGATGAATAGCGCGCTACTAGGTCAAATTTGCGTCACACGTCCTCTCCCGATAGCGCTGCTGCTAGAACTAGTTACCGCTAGATATTAATACTTAATAGTGCCAAAGTGTAATAGCACCATGGTGACTACTTACATAGCACGCGCTGTGTTATGGAGAGATAGCGCGCTATAATATGGCGCTATGCGCTATATTAACCACCATTATTTATAATGCCCGAGCAATACGAATAATGACAAGTCAAGTCGGGCTATGTCGTTAACACTAATTTAAACTTAATTATTTAGCACATTGTCTGGTCATTACGAATATTGCTAAGTAACTGTTGGGCAGTTTGTTACAACCTAACCCAACCATGTTATTCATTTTTAAACCAATAAGTTATGTCGGCTCGGAAGAGGACACATGTGTGTCTCTTCCGAGCTAACAGGATTCAAATTTTGCTAATCATACGGTAATTATTCAAACTATTCGTATGAATCGACAATCGTATGAATAAAAAAAAACTTATCCATCCGATAATTTTTTAATTAATAAGGTTAAATACTTTCAATGTTATATTTTAATTAATTTATGGTTAACGATTACACCAATGATTATATGTGATTTGCATTAAGTATATGTGAATGTGCGCGGCTTTACGGTGGCCCAAGGGCCACCCCAGCTGCACCTTAACCTACTGTAACTGATATTGCAAGAATGGTGTAACGTTTGATTAGACGCAAATAGCCTATTCATAATCGGACGAATAAAAATAATAAATTATACGTTATCGTATGGTTATCCATATAAATAAAACAATAATCACATTATTATTACTCTTGCCTAATAAGTAACAAATAAAAAGTTTTATCACATTGCCTACGCATATTGCTTATTCATATTGTCCAGGCAATATTTATAATGCCCTATTTATCACTTGGTCTATAACATATATACACAAAACCTTAGTGGCAACACTCATGGGACAAATGAGATGAACCAGATTTTTTTTTATAAAATAAGGATGTCAAACGAGCACACAGTCCACCTGAAGGTAAGCGGATGCTGTGGCCCATAGATATTATATGTATATAATTGATGACTGCCTCGTTAGTCTAGTGCTTGTAGTAGTGCGACTGCTGATCATGAGGTCCTGGGTTCGAATCCCGGGACGGGCCAAAAAATTAATTATTGAGTTTTTCCGTCAAAAAATTCTCAGTAACTGCCCGAAGTCAGGAAGTTGGTGCTGTCTCACCCCCGTGCCTCGGAAAACACGTAAAGCCGTTGTTCCTGCGCCTGATCTCTCTCCGGTCGTGTCGGTTTACCGTCCCATCGGATTATGAGAGTGAGGCAATAGAGAGTGCACCTGTGCTTGCGCATACACTCGGGCACTATAATCCTGTCCTGCGCCGATGGCTAGCCTCCGTTGAGGCAGGCCGCCGTGGCCGAAATTCGGTCTGGAGGACATTATTATTATTATACTTGATTAAGAATCAAAATGCAGGTGTGTTGTTACCCCTAAGGAAAAGACCGGCACAATACGGAACAGTGCGTGGTCCTCTCCGGTACGAGCCGACCCATTTTTACTACAACCATAATATAGATACAGCGTGGCTCTACCACTTACAAACATAAAATAGTACATTATACTTCATTTTATTTGTACCAATAAATGAAATGTTACATACACTAAAACCACGGCCGCAAATATCACAAATCTTGTCTTTGGGCATGGACGTCTTCTCGTGAACGCGTAGTCTATGGTTTCGTAGCGCATACGCTGTCACATAGTACTGTAACAAATGGTGGGCATTGTGGTTAGATTTTCGTCGTTATATTATAATAAATAAAGTAATAGGGGCTAAACGCTCGCTATAGACTTCACAGGTCAGCATTTAAAATTGCAATCAACAAATTTTTAATTGCAATTTTAAATGCTGACGTGCTCGCCGGTGGTCAAGGAAAACATCGTGACGAATCCTACGTCTGAGAATTAAGAAAAAATATTCAGACATGTGAAGTTCGCCAACACGCATTGGGGCAGCGCGGTGGACATTTCCTGGCTCTAAAACCCTCTCAGAAATGAAAAAAAGCCCTGCAGTAGGACGTATACATGCTGTGACTTTATTTTTGTCACTTAATGAAATTTCAGCTTCATTTTTGTGATTTGGATAGACACTTATACTAGTTTCAGAATATTTATTTTAAAATATTTTTATTGCACGCCATAATTAATGCCACTAGCGCCATCTAGTATCGAGTAGCAGAACTAGTAGAACTTCCTGGAAAATTTCATACTAGAACTTTCTACACCTAGTCGGTCGGGACCGGTATGTACTCTAACATTCTAGATGTTTTCGTAGAAAAGGTCCTATATAAGACTGGTATTGACCGCGAGCCGAGTCAATATTGAATTGGCGATTCAAGCAAATACTTCGAAGCGATACAACTACGAACTAAGTGATCATTGTGATTAATTATTAGTGTGTTTCAATTTGTAATTGGTGTTCGGTAATTAAATGTCAATTTTCGTAATTCGACTGGCAGTATTTATTGTCACGAACCTCCAAGCTCGTAACATTATTATACCAATTACAAAAACCAACAGGTTTCGCCTTACGGCATCATCAAGATATATGATGATTGTGATTATCCAAATGATATTGTTACGCGGCTAAGTTGACATCTGGCACTAGCGCCATCTAGTGTCGGGTAACGGAGCGAGGGGAGAGCTTTCCAGAAAATGACATCACTAATCTTTCAACCGACAGCGCCATCAATTTTTATTGTCACGAACCTCAAGCTCGTAACAATATGATAAAATAAGACAATCTCATATACCCGGCAAAAGCGGTCGATTTTTGTAATTAGCAAAATAATAATTTAAAATAAATATTGTAAGACTAGCGAATATCCATATTAGCCGACATAGTTTAACGGATAAGAACGCTGAAGTGGTAATGGACCGGTCATTTATCTCGAAGGACCGACATCCGATGGAGATGAGAGGTTCTCGAGTGGCAGCCTCGTACCAGTAGGCGAAGTGTAGGACGGCCCCCACTAGATAGAGTGACGACCTGGTAAGATATGCAGGAAGTCGATGATGCAGGTGGCTCAGGACCGTGCTTTGTGGCATTTCTTGGGGAAGGTCTATGTTCAGCAGTGGACTTATGAATTCTGGAACTAGTACAAGTGGTAATCCAAATCACAAAAATAATATCGTAATGAAAGAGCAGAGTGATTTCTCCAAAGTTACATAGGTGTTTTGCAATACACACTACAAAACCTATTTGTTTCTATTTAGACCTATTTCCTGTCGATGAATATTTTGTCAATGAAAATGGAAAATGCAAATGAGTTTTATAGCAATTGCAGGTTTAATATCTACAAGTGTGACAGCACTGTCGTCGGGCTACAAGCGAAACGCAATGAAGCCTATTCTATATATTACAGCGCAGTACTTCGGAAATCAATTTTCCAAAGTACTGCGCTATGATATATAGAATAGCTCCGAACTACCACATGGAGCGTTGGCCGTTTCTCGGGCTCATTTTATTGACTAAATGGTGACAAGACGACGTGATGTGAACACGCAATTTAACAACCTTCGTCAATCAACAATCTTCAACTTCAAGCCTTCACCATTATCCTCAAGAAACCCTTCCATTCACCCCTTCCACGGGCAAAATAAGTACTATATACATATTGAAGGAATAGGAGCCCATAAGCATTAGCAGTCAGCCGTGCCAAGCTATTGGAACAACGGCTCAACGGCTCACCAAATATGCCGAGCGATGGCACTTTATAATGAAGAATAATGTGTGTGTGTGTGTGTGTGTGTGTGTGTGTGTGTGGCGCGTGCGCGCGCGTGCGTGCGTGCGTGCGTGCCGTGTGTGTGCGTGCGTGTGTGTGTGTGTGCGTGCGTGCGTGCGTGCGTGTGTGTGTGTGTGCGTGTGTGCGTGCGTGCGCGCGTGTGTGTGTGTGTGTGTGTGTGTACCTGTATATGGTGATGTTACTTAGCTCTTACCCTGTTGCAAAGCTCGCAGTAGTGTCTAGACTTCTTCACATGGAATAATCTGTAGTGATTGTTCATGTATAACTTTCTAGTGAACACTTTCCCACACTCCGGACAAGGTATACTGTGAAAGATGAGGATCTTTTGTGATATTTATTAATACAAATTTATTATAAGTTCTTCATTTATTCTATAGCTCTATTATTACCTTTAAGTCACCTAAAACAGTACTTGTTAAATGCACAAAAAGACCTAGGCATGGTTAACACTAATGCTAATATTTCCTATATTTGATGGTTATTTGAGAGGTTCAGTTTATGTTCTATATTTTATTTTATTTTTTATTTTTTGTTGATATTATTATGTAGTTACAGTTTCACGCGCTGTATCTTGTTAATAATAAAGTATTTAATTTGTATCCTGTCATATTTTATATACATATTTTATTAATCATTTATTATTTAAGTAATTATATATGTTTTTTCATAGAGTTCACGTATACTGATTGTTCTTGCGGAAGTACACGGTAACTGGTTTTAGAGGTGAAGACGTATGCAATTCAGGGGGCCAATAGAAAATCAGCGTTAGGTTTCCAACCTGACATCATGCTGAATTGGTTCCTATCTTTTGGCATCACCCTGAGGCACTAGTTTTAAGAATATATATTATGTATAATATTTTTTTCCTGATTGTAACTGGCTGTTTGTTTGTTCTTAAATTGTTACTTTTTTTGTTTTGACTTTGTTTCTGTGTTCTGGTGCCATATGCGTGTCAGAAATAAATATTATTTCTTTCTGCTTCATTCTTATTTTCTATTTAGAACCTGAAAACTCTTCATAGCTTAACGGATCAGTAAGCTGAAGTGGCATTGGACGGCCATATAGCTCGATGAACCAATAAACTATGAGGAAAAAAGGTTCTCGAGACGCAGCCTTATACTTGTAAGCGGAATATAAGGCGTCCCATCTTTAGATGCACTGAAAAAATGGTAAAATATGCAATACTATGCTTTGTAGCATTCCTTCGAGAAGCAAATACAAGTGTCACAAGTGGTAAAATAAAAAATGTGGTATAATCAAGTTCAGTATAAATGAGAACATTGTCAATGTAGTCAAAGTCAATTAAATACACATTATTAAGGATTACTCAAAAACTACTGGACAGATCTAGATCAATTTTTTATGGGACCACATGAGAAGCACCAGTTTACAAATAAAAAAGGATCATCAAAATCGGTTCACCTAGAAAAAAGTTTTGAGGTAGCACACATAAAAATAAACATACGGATAGAGAACCTCTTTCTTTTTTGAAGTCGGTTGATAAAAGATCATAGCCTTGTTTTTACGTGACGACGATGAAATTGTTATTATCATCATTATTCATCATCACAGCCTATCAAAAGTCCAAAACTGAATATAAACCTCACCCAAAGATAGATAGAAAATTCTTTATTGCACTCAAACAAAACAATTTGGTACAAAGGCGAATTTAACGCCGAAAAAGCATTCTCTGCCAGCTAACCTTTTGTAGTGTGGTGAGAGCTATGGGTAGAGCCGCGAGAGAAAGAAAAACTAACTTATTTATTCATACTATTCAAAAAGTAATATTATGTATATGCTAGTTTATACATATATACACACACAAAAAATACGAGGGTGCGTTCGCGGAATGGGTAGGTAGGTAATAAGTGGTGACGTCATCCGATTTACGTGTAATTGAGCAACTCATTATTAGTATATAAATATATAAATACCGGGTTTTATTTTAATTAGATCATTAGTCTTTGAGTTATCGTCAACCAAACAAGTCAATCGGGAAGAAATTGGGAGATATGGACAAAATCGAGTTCTGTGCCGTTATAAAGTTCCTTACCAAGCGCGGAAAATCAGTTCAGACTATACTGGAACATATGTCATCCGTTTACGGAGACGCTTGTCCAAGTAAAACTATGGTTTACAAGTGGCGTACCCTTTTTAAACAAGGCAGAGAGTCACTTGAAAACGACCCACGGCCAGGAAGGCCGATCGAGGTGACCACTTCGGAAATTATTTAAAAAGTCGAAAAATTAATATAAGAAGATACCCGCCTAAAGGAAAAGACAGCTCGCAGAAATGACTGGAGTATCAGATACAACCATTTTCAAAATTCTTCATGACTATTTTGGCATGACTAAAGTCAGCGCAAGATGGGTGCCTAGAATGCTCACGCCGCCTCAAAAGTTACAGCGCGTGGAGTGTTCCCATGCATTTTCGGACCTCTGTATGGAAGACAAAGATGGAGTGTTGGCTCGAATTGTGACTGGTGACAAAACTTTGGTTCACCATTATGAACCTGAGTCCAAACAGGACTCTTTGCAGTGGCACAAAAAAGGCGCACTACCACCCAAGAAATTTAAGGTGGCACAATCGGCTGGGAAAATCATGGCGACCGTCTTTTGGCACTCAGAAGGAATCCTATTGATTAATTATAAAGATAAAGGTGTCTCCATAATCGGAAATTACTACGCTTCAATCCTAGAACAATTGAAGGAAGCCATAAAGGAGAAAAGAAGGGGAAAATTGACCAAAGGAATCCTTCTCCTGCACGACAATGCATCTGTTCACAAGTGCCATGTTGCGATGAATGCCCTGTAGAAGGTGGCCTTCGAAATTTTGCCACACCCACCCTGTAGTCCTGACCTGGCCCCTAGTGATTATTATCTATATCCAAACTTAAAAAAAGAACTTTGTGAGAAAAAGTTTTTAAGTGATGAAGAAGCGAAGGAAGCAGTTTCGGCGTATTTTTTAGACAAGACAATTTTTTTTGAGGGTATACATAAGGTAATTGAAAGATCCGAAAAATGTATTAGGTCATGTGAATATATTGAAAAGGAAAAATAAATTTGGATTTTTATTTCCACTCCTTACCCCCCCCCCTATTCCGCGAACTTAAAAATGTCTCCTCGTAAGCCTCGTAGGTAGATATTTCTGTTTCCGCAACAGCACGCAACGTGCTAACACGCGTTGGGTCAGCAGTTGTGCCCAGCAGTAGGACGAATGTGTGTGGATGAGCGTGATGTACTCCTGGTCCAGGGTCCGGTTGCAGGGTAGTATGCATCATCGATCCCATTCTCTACACTCACCATACGAAACACAGCAGCATATAATATTAGTAGCTTATACTATTTCACGCTGGTATTCTGTGAGAGCGTGGTACTTCCCTGGTCGAGCCGATCCATTCGTGCAACAACTATATTACTAATGTAACTGCAGCATGCCTCTACCATGTGGAAAAATTTTAATTTACAATTGGACCTACCGGATCCAAATGTAAATTTAAACCATCCAAGGACCCACACACACAAAAAAATTCTTCAGAATCGGTCGAGCCAGTTTTCAGTTTTAGACTAACAGAGAACAAATGTTTTTTTATATATAGAAATAATAATTTTATAAAATATTTTAACGCTCACCTAACTGGTTTCGGTGGTCGATGTATGAAAGCCGTGTAAAGATGCCTTCTATACGTGTATACGCTTTTGAATTGTTTGTTACACTCCACACAGTAAGACAGCTCGGTCTTCGACAGGTCGTAATGTAATTCTGGATGGCTGAGTCTACTGTGGGATTCTAAAGCGTAGAAGCTTTTGTAAAGGCGGCCGCACGTGTAGCACACTGGTGGTAGGTGTTTCCGTCTGTAAATATTTCAAAAGTTGCCAGACTCAAACATTTTACATTCAATCAATTTAAAAATAAGCTTTACAATTTCATAATTTCAAATTGTTTTTATTCATTATTGTTGTTCCAGTTCGCAAATTAAGGTAAGTAAATGTCCTAGACCGTGCAGCTTAGTCTGATTTTGGCATTTCGTTCACAGATTATTCGCAATACCTCATATTACGAAATTATTGGGAGATTTTGATAACAGATTAATCCAGCTGACAATAGATGATGATAATATCTAAAGGCCCCTAAACAGCTAAAAACATTTGGGATTTATATTAAAATCGAAGCATTTATATAATATTAAAATGTATCAAACATTGGTTCCACTGCGCATTCACATGCGCAGATAATATACAAAGAAAAAAACATCACTTTGACGAATAAGAATTCCACTTCGAACCATTATTTAATTCATAAAACAGGAGAGCGATCAGCCAGTGGTAAAAATTCCTGCCAAATCTCTGTTTTATTCCAAGAATAATTGTCTAATTTTTTTGACTGTTTTGCACTCATCGATATAAATGACAAGATATGGTCGAGCAAACAAAAAATTTTCACAGTTTAGGCATAGAATAAATAAGCGCCATCTCTTAAATACATATGAACTAGCAGGAACCAGTGTTTCCACTTATGATTTTGGTTTAACCCTAGAACCTGTAGAAATACTTCCTAAATTATCGTAAAAAAATCGATATAACCTTATATATCATTGCAACAAATTTTCAATATTTTAAAAAACAACATTTGCAAGTTTTGAATATCATTTCACGATTTAAAACTCTTGAGTTTTGTGATCAAGAAGACGTTCTCATTTTCAAATTATAATAACACTTACTACGATACGAATAATGAATATGTACTCGTAACTAAGTAATATTATAATATTACACCATTATTCCGATATACAGAATGAAAAACTTTTTCGTTCTACACTTTTCTAGCTTTTTGACCCTATCCCCTTCGATAAATCTTAAAAAAATTACATTGGGTATATACAGAAAACAGGGCTACCTTTTTTTTTTTTGCATGGGGAAATGCCTACGCATACCCGCCTCGCGGGGGGCAAGGACGGGTTATGTCGGACTCGCACCGACTAAAACCCCATGGTGTTCCACCTTTGTCGCATATTGGCAGGGCTACGGGAACGCTTTCGCACACATCCGCGGCCCTACTAGCGCCTGCCGCCCTATGGCAGCACCTCCTCGGGAGAGGAAAATTCCTCCCCGTTCTCCTTCCCAGGTAAGGCGCACCAGAACACATGGCGCGCCTTCCTCCACGGCCTCCAATTACGTCTGTGCAACAGACGCCCCCCGCGTCCGATGCACAAAGGCCATGGGGCCAGGAAAAACGAGCACTTAGAAGTACCAGCCTTCCCGACCCCAGCGGCGGATCTGGTCTATGGCTCCGCCGCCAACCAAGATTCGGCTGCGGAGGGCAGGGATAGCGGCGCCTCGCAATACCGACAATCCTCTCCCCCCGCAGCCCCACCACCACCGCATCAACGTTGCGGCCCCGTTTGAGTCGCGAAGGATAGGGCGAGTGGCGCATCGCCATACCAACACTCCTCTTCCTCCGCGACTCCACCTCGGCTGCAGCGGTAGAGGGTGCGCGAGTCCCCACTCGCTGCAGTCCACCAGCACACATCCGAAGTGGGCTCCCCAAGCCCACTCTGAGTGGCCACCTCAGGCCGGCCCTTCACCTCGGGCCAGCCACGTGGGTTCCTCTTTGTTCACCGTGGGAGACCAAGCCACGGCTACTAAGCCCCCCCGCCACGACAAGGCGGGAACCCGTTCGGGGGGGGAAACAGGGCTACCTGAGTTTGTTTCCAAATTATCCAAAACCCTGTCAACCTGGAAAAACGCCTAAAGCCCCACCTGTATTAGTAGATTTAACCTAAAATAGTGCAAAATATCTAAAAGTGGAAACACTGCACGGATGCACGGCACGCATATGAGCTCGCGTTGGTGCTCCATAAATATTTTTGGACCAATGAATCGGTGCCATTTTGTTTTTTCAATGATCCGGTCCATACACAGTAGTATAATAAGTCTATGACCGCACTGCTTCATTTGTATATGCGAATACAATTGATTAAATAAAACGAATTTTACTGCGTTTAACTTCACTTTTTTCCTATATATAATTCCCCATATTTTGGGTGCTTTACAGCACTCATTGTCACGGCGGAGAGGGACGTGTTTATCCACAGAATACTATAATACACAATAGAATGGCTGTCAACCTTATTTTGTACGAGGTTCGGCGTCGCCGGGAGCACACATACAAGCAATTACGTCGTATTATCAGTTATCACTACTACAAACCTAATTCGCTATGTTGAGCGACTGAGCGAATTTACACATTTTAGACTTTTGATTAATGTTTTTGACACAAATATTTCTTTATATTTATTTCTAATATTCACAAAATATAAATAGTTTCGACTTAATGGTTGAAGAATATGTCTCCTTTATTTAAATTCCATTTTCCACTGTTCTTTCGACACGTAATTATAGCACAATTAGCCATATTTTAAATAATTTTCATGCAGCGACGCTTGACACGAAAATCAATCGTGGAAACGATTGATTTGGGATTGCTACTCCACTCTGCCGTTCTATTATATATGTATTACAGTATTCTATGTGTTTAACTTACTGATTTCACCATAGTTTATCCATGTTACCTTCAGCTTTTGAATAATAACATTCGGTCCGATATCTACGCAAAACAAGCCAACAATTATCTAGGTTTTGATTTAATTTTATTAATTATAGGTTCCCAAGCAAGACATAATGACAGAGATTTCTTTGGATTAACTTTTCTAGATATAAAAAAGCTGTGTATGAGGTTCTATCTGAATTTGATGCAAGTTAATACAATTGCTTATTTAGGTTAACATCTATTAAAAATAAAAATATAAATTTCTTTCAACTTTCCGCTAAACATATGTTTTAAGTTTTTTTGTTTAGAAAGTTGAAGTTTATATTTTTTTTTTTTTGATTTCCAATTATTTTCACATCTATGTATTATCTACATATGTGTATGTGTATGTGCGTGTATGAATATGTTTGTATATATGTGTGTATGTATATGCGTGCACATGTATATGCATATATGTAAATTAGCTTGTTTTTCTCTGTATTTATTGGTGAACGGGTCGTTTTTAATAGAACATTATATTTTAATTTTTATTGTTACGTACACAGACCCAGTGGTAATATGTGGATAACGGTGTTGATTGTATGATTATTAAGATTAAATATAGTATTGTATTTAATAATAGTTGTACAATTGTTTGTTATTCCTAATATAGAGAAAAAAAAGACCAAGCCGTTTGCGAAGCGCGTCAACTATACCAAAATTCCCACATGAGGCAATCTGTGAGGGAGCCCTATGATCAGTAGTGGACTTTTATAGGCTGTTATGTATGGATTGATGGACGCAAGACCGAACATTAGTATTCAAAATCTGACATATCTCAAAGTTAGCACTTCTAAAGACTAAGTTGGAATGCAAGTCCGATAAGTAGAAAGTAGTCCTAAGATCTTACAATTCATCTTTTTTTTTATTGAATAAGGTTGATAAACGTGCATACAGTCCACCTGATGGTAAGTTGATGCTATGACCCATAGACATCTACAACTATCTTTATAGAATCAAAGTGCAGATGCGTTCCCAGCTCTGAGGACTGAGATGGAATGCCTCGTTTCCAGTAAAAAAGGGTCTCCGGTTCTCTACACTCACCATACGAAACAGAGCAGCGTTAAGCTGCTATTTTACGCTGGTATTCTGTGAGAGCGTGGGCCTGCCCCGGTCGAGCCGACCCATTCGTGCTACAACCATAATATAGCTGCAGCGTGGCTCTACAATGATAAAATTTTGTAGCCTTCTCTGTTTAAAGTTCGTTGCAGATGACAATGGACTGCAGTTGCCAGTTATAAGCCCCGCAGGTTGATATTGCGATAGAACCTTATCACAATAACAGCTGCGTGACGTCATCCACCGCAAAAAAGTACAGACAACAAAAAAGTTACTCTTCTTTTAGTATAAGGTCTTGCCACCTCTGGTGAAAAAAGCTAATAACCTAGAGTTATAGGTATTTATATTATATTATATACATATATTTATAAGTATTTAATCATAAATATTTCATATTAAATTACCTACTAATATATAAATGTGTAAAAGTAAAGTAAAAAAACTACAGCCTATATACGTCCCACTGCTGGGCACAGGCCTCCTCTCATTTCTGAGAGGGTTTTAGGGCAAGGAATTGTCCGCCGCGCTGCCCCTGTGCGTGTTGGCGAACTTCACATGTCTTCAAAATATTTTTTTTTCTCATTCCTCAGACATGCTGGTTTCCTCACGATGTTTTCCTTCAACGCCGAGCATGTGGTAAATCAGCACTTAAAATTGCAATTAACAATTTCATTAGTGCCGGCGGGGATCGAACCTTGCGTTCTGTTATATTTACAGCGAGCGTTAACCATCGGCTTATATATATATATATATATATATATATATATATATATATATATATATATATATATAGTGTACCACTTTTAATGGACAACTAATAAATAAAACCAAGTATTGAAAATCGATACTTATTAATACAATTTAATAATTCTAGACTAATTTTTCAATTCCACTCATATTATCACCGCTCATGTAATAGATTTAAAATGTCCATCACAAGTTGATTTGAAATTGACATGTCCTCAGTAGTGTCCGAAGCAGTTTTTAGAGCACGGTTTATATTTTGAATCAATAACTTAGAGTCCTCTTTCTCCTTTACAAAATAATTGTCCACTTTAATACTTAATCATTTCATGAGTACGGCTGTTAATTACTTTCTTACTCACTTGGATATTTAAAACTTTAAGATATGTTGCTTGTCCAGACCTTTTAAATCAAATTTATGTAGCACTTGCTCAATCTATAATAATATATTGTATACCTATTTGGGGGGGTACTTATAAAAGCAAATTTATTGAAGCTGAGAGAGCTCAAAGATGTTTATTGAAAGTTATACATTTTAAGCCATATAGGTTCCCCACTACCATTTTGTATTCATCTTGTGGGGTGCTTTCGGTGAGGCAGTTGTACATATTACTCACTTTGTTAAAAAAACATAAGTCTTTGTCTTTTAATCCTACTTACGGTAGTAAAAGAAGAAATTATAGTGTAGTTCCTATACGCAGTACGAAAACCAACTTTGCGAAAAATCAATGTGAAAAACGATCAGAACACTTATATAATCAAATTAACAAAATATTGCAAATATATCCTTTAAAGACATACGATTGTAAGAAAAAAATAATGCAGTGGCTTAAGACACTTAATTAAGACCAAACTGAAGCCTTATTAGAATCTATCCTATAAATGCATTCACTCACTGTCTTTTTCTCATACGTACACACGTACATACCCACACAAACACACACACACACACACACACACACACGCACACACACACACACACACACACACACACACACACACACACACACACACACACACCACACACTCACACAAACACACACACACACTCACACACACACACACACACACACACACACACACACACACACACTGTTTCTCTTATGTTAATTGTACTTAGTTAAGGGAGGGCGAGGGCCTTCTACCACAAGTATCTTTATACTTAAAAGAAGTCCTCAAACTCGTACTAATTTTAAGAAAATGTTGGAAACAATAAACTTTCATTTCATTTCATTTCATTACTCATTATAACAGAATAAGTATGATAACAATATAGAAAGAAAGAAAGAAAAAAAAACTTTATTTGAAATCACAAAGAAGAAAAAATATAACTCGAAATATTACAATAAAAAATAAAATGGATTTTTGTGAAGTCACATTAGGTCCCTATTTCAACTAACTGCTGCTGTACCGAATGACAGCAGCGCTGAATTTCCAATAGAGCCCAATATTCACTTTACGGACGGTCATACATTACTTAAAGCTGAAAATTAAAAGCAGCCATCTGAGAAGTGAGTGGGGAAGGAATCAGCATAAAAGAGGTAATATTTGGAACTAATAACACAATGTATAAGTGAACTGTACACTTGCATATCACATATATAGCTATACATCAATACATACATATATACATCATACACATTTAAATGTACAAACATATACATTAGAAAGTGCTCAACAGATCAACATAATATAGTATATTATCTAATCTTAATAAACTAAAAAACTGAATTTAATTGTAAAGACTTTACGATTTAACAACCATAAACAAAATGAAACGAAACAGTGAGTAAACTGAAAATTTAGTGAGGAAATTAAAAAAAAAACAGTAAGTCTTATCTAGCAATTTTACAATAACAAATTTTAACAACAAAAACAAAATAAGATAACGAAAGTAAAAAGCCATAAAAAACGTGTGGTAGAGGTACTCTATACGCGTAAGCACTGGCGGACCTTACGAACGGTACTAACAGTTCGACTACGTCACTAAGATGGCCGTCATTCGCAATATCAACATGCGGGGCTTATACCATCGTACCACTTTCACCCATTATACCATTATATAACTACCATTATACTATTCTTTAGTCAGTTCAGTTTTATATTTTTTAAAAAAAACATGACAAAACTTAAGCTATACTATGTATAAAAAATAATAACATACATACTTGATGTGCTTTTCTAATGTCTGCTTTTTAATGAAGGACTTTCCACAATGGTCGCATATGACTCTCTCGTGAAGGTCCTTGTGGTGGCGGATGAATTCTCGAAATGAACTGCAAACGAGAAGTAATAAAAGTCATAAGAGATTTAGGTTAGTGATATTTACAAACAATGTGTCAATTGAACATGGGGTAGTTCTTTCCTGAGTCAACCCATTCGTACTTCAACCATAAAATAGCTGCAGTGTGACTCTACTGTTAATTTACCTTTGATTACATTACACCATTTAACAGAATGCAATCAAAAGTTACCGTGTAGAGGCGGTGTAAGAATATCCCCTATTCCATATCATCCTGTGGGTCTCGTAAGAGGCGACAGAGGGAAACAAATTAGATGGCGAGCGGCGTCTTACTAATAAGGGTAGGTTTACACTGTTTTTTTAATTAACTGGCTTTACGGCTCTGGTTTCTAGACCTTCTGAGCCTATCCTTTCTTTTGGAATCTTCATTTTATATTCTTTTCTCTTCACAATATGCTGATGCGTCACATTGCGAAGCCCTTGGGAGATTTTGACGACAGCTCAACCTAGCGGACAGTTAATGACGACAACCACTCAAGTTCATAAGGCGCCCAAGCGATCAAAATAACATGAGGTTTATATCACCATCTAAGTACTTGTTTCGTCACTTTCTCTAATATTTCAGACATCACTTAATTCACAAAGTCACATCACTTTTACGAATCAAAATCCATTTCAAACCATTATTCAAGCGACAAAACAGGAGCGACAATCCGTCTACGGCCAAGTTCCCGCCAAAACTCCATTCACACGGCGCGTTGCGTCAGCGTTGCGTTGACGTATCGCTGTCACTGCGTCGTTTTACATACTAATAATCATAGTGTTCACACGGCGCGTTGCTTTGACGTAGCGCTGTTACTACGTCGTTTTATACCATAAAGGTTAGAGAACGGGAGAACGATCGCCCTAGAAAATAGTGTCCCAGCAATATGGACACCATAAGTGAGGCGCTGCGATCGCTCAGTTCGCTCAATAAAAGCCATTTTCAGTCTATTTTTCCGACCAGATGCGAAACCTCCACCAATGCCGCGGAGAAAATTTGTACATTATTCAACTAACTTCATCTACTTGTACTCATAAACCGCTAACTTCGCAGTCACTACTCACCGACATCAGCGCCGCTATAAATTCTATAATTTTCAAGGACAGGCGGGCTATACTTTAGTACGTAGTGATCGTTCTCCTGTTCTATAACCTTCATGGATGGTAGCGTAAGAACACCCAATTCTTTAAATAGTGGTTTGCAAGAAACTAGTGACCTGACACCACAAATTGCTCGTATACAGCGTTTTTGCGCTTTAAAAGCACGGTTTACATCAGTCGAGTTTCCCCATAATATGAGACCATATCTTAATACAACAGCGACATATGCATAATATGCTATGAGAAGTGTTTCTTGACGAGATTGAAGTTAGCCTTCGCAGAGCAAAATTAAATTGAAATATTCTAGAACAAACTTTATCTACCTATGTGATTTTTCCAATTACAATGTTTGTCTAAACTAATACCTAGAAATGTGGTACATTCAGTAACTGTAAATCAGTATTTTTTTAAACAATATTTTATTTGTAGATCAAATGTTTGTCAACATTGCAATTCAAACTGGTGACATAGTAGATAAACAGAAAGCCAAATATGTTACTAAAGTTCGTTGCTGAACATAGGCCTCCCCCATTGACTGCTTCTTAGGGTGGATATTTGCCACAGTTGCCACGCTTGGCAAGCGGTGTGGCAACCGTAGTTTTTAAATTTATAGTCGTTATTAGGAAGACGCTACTGCTCACTCGATTTGTTACCTTTGTAAGAGGTGACAGGGGGTCAAATCTTACAATATCCATGGAATAATGTAGGGTAATAAATATTCTTACACTATCACTACATGGTATAGACAATATATGTCATCATCATTATCATCATTACAGCCCTTCAAAACTCCACTGCTGAACATACGCCTCCCCCAAGTAATGCCACAAAGCACGGTCTGAGCCTCCTGCATCCATCGACTTCCTGCATGTCTTACCAGGTCGTCACACCATCTAGTCGCCTATGTCGCCCTACACTACGCCTACGGGTACGAGGCTGCCACTCGAGAACCTTTTTTCCCATCGGTTATCGGTTCTTCGAGCTATATGGCCTGCACATTGCCACTTCAGCTTACTAATCCATTGGGCTATGTCGGTCACTCTGGTTTTACTGTGGATATCCACATTTCTAAGTTTATCACGCAGAGAAACTACGAGCATAGCCCTCTCCATAGCTCGCTGAGCGACCTTGAGAAAGACAATATATGTACTTACTTATAATTCATACCGCATTCATTGCAACAGTAAGTATATTGATGCATATGTAACAAATGACGATTCATTTCCGGACTAGAACGGCAAACCTCCGGGCACTGTTTGCATTTGAATACAACATGACTTTCCAAATGTTGATGAAGATCCCGTAACGTTAACAGGTTCCCATTGTTTTTACACTCACTGCATTTGTATGGCCCTTTAGGCTGAAAATTAAAAAAAAAGAGTTAGTTATTAGATATTATTTATTATTAAGTAAATTATATCACAGACGGTATGTAACCATAGAATAATAAGATATAGATAAGATACATAAGAATAATAAAACGGGGGAGTGGGATGGGCCCGTGTAGCCACTAAAATGCCACTAACACATTTTACGAACCAATCAACCGATTTTGATGTGATTTACGGCAAACGACGCAATTTTTTTAGCTTAACAAAAAAAAATTCATAATTTATTTCGAAAAACCCTTTTTCGAGATTTCTTTCGACAATGATATCTTTCAAACGAATCAACCGATTTTGATTCGGTTCATGGCAATCGACTTTGTTTTTTTGAGTAAAAGAGCTGGATAGATTACAGAATTGATGATGAATAGATTACAGAAGCAGTCCACTTAACACCAGCAGCGACGATCAGTCGAGGATAGTTTGTAACTCAGTAATATAAAGCCAAATATGTTGGTAATTTCAAAATTAAAAAAAAAATTAAAACTTATTCAAACTACACAAAATACTTTCGTTTCGTCGTTTAATAGTTTAAAATACAGAGGTACGATTTAAATAACACAACTGACTTTGGCATTTTATTTTAATTTTAGTTCCCGGTACGAACAATACAGCGCTTCAAATTGGCACAAACATTTTGTCCAGCGTACTTGTATATATAAAGATCAGTATTGTCAAGGGTCAAGGCATAAAAGCGTTTTTAATGTACCTTTGGACCTTTGCTGCATACATTTTTTTAATAAAATGTATTAAAGTGCAATTTAAGTACAGCTTACTCATTATACAAACTTAATTACAGTCAAACTTCGAAGACTTGGTGACCACTAGTTACAATCATAGAATACTATAATACACAATAGAATGGCTGTCAACCTTATTTTGTAGGAGGGTTGGCGTCGCCGGGAGCACACATAAAAGCAATTACATCGTATTATCGGTTAATCACTACTACAAACCCGATCCGCTGTGTTGACAGACGGATTTTACATATTTATTTGTAAATAGGGTACAAGTTGGCATTATCTAAATAATTTGCATGCGAAATTATGAAAAAATTGTAACGTCAAAACACATCTAGTGTTGTTATACATGTGAATATAAACTATTAAACGACGAAACGAAAGTATTTTGTGTAGTTTGAATAAGTTTTAATTTTTTTTTTAATTTTGAAATTACCAACATATTTGGCTTTATATTACTGAGTTACAAACTATCCTCGACTGATCGTCGCTGCTGGTGTTAAGTGGACTACTTCTGTAATCTATTCATCATCAATTCTGTAATCTATCCAGCTCTTTTACTCAAAAAAAACAAAGTCGATTGCCATGAACCGAATCAAAATCGGTTGATTCGTTTGAAAGATATCATTGTCGAAAGAAATCTCGAAAAAGGGTTTTTCGAAATAAATTATGAAATATTTTTTTGTAGTTGGTTTTTTTGTTAAGCTGAAAAAATTGCGTCGTTTGCCGTAAATCACATCAAAATCGGATGATTGGTTCGTAAAATAATCAATTTCGAAAAAAGTACAAAAACATGGTTTTTCAAATTTGACGTTTTTAGCACTTGGAGCTCCAAAACATACGTTATAAGTGGAATTTGGAACGTTTTGATTTTGAAATTAGCCGGAAGTTCCAGGGATGGCCTGCAGGAACAAACAATTTTTTTATAGAGTAAGGGTAACAAACGAGCACACAGTCCATCTGATGGTAAGCGTATGCTGCAGCCCATAAAAATCTACATTTATCCTCGATTAAGAATCAATATACAGATGAGTTGTCACCTCAGATTTCTAAGATGGCTCGGACTTAATAAAAAGTGTCTCTGGTTCTCTACACTCACCATATGAAACAACAGCATTAACATGCAATTTCACGCTGGTATTCTGTGAGAGTGTGGTCCTTCCCCAGTTGAACCGACTCATTTGTGCTACAACAGTAATAAAGCTGCAGCATGGCTCAACCATGTATAAAATTACTTTGAAATAACCATTACATACCGGTGGATGTTTTATGAGCTTATGTCTCTTCAAATCTATATTTTTATGAAAACCAACTTTACATATTTTGCAGATGTAATGTGGGTCCTTCTTATACATAACCATATTTCGCCTTTCCAATATTTCTTCGATGACGTTTTCATTTAAATTATTTCTTATAAAATAACTATCTATGATATCACCATTGATTACATTTTCTGTAACAATAGCCCATTTCATATACTTTCTCTGCTTCTTTTCATTTTTGGTTTTTGATTTTTTAACGACACTGTCACAATCTTTATTTGTCTCAATCTCAATTTCCTCTTTTATTAATTCATTTTTTAAATCTTCTGTTATTGGTATATCATCGAAATCAGTTTCACTTATGTTGCCATTATAAATATCTTTTATTTCTTCTGATTCATTTTCATTACTAATTTCATGTTCAACTTTACAGTTTGGTTTGTAATCGATATCCTGGCAATTTTCGTAAATAGTGTTATCATACTTTGAATTTATAACCGAACTCAGGGTTGACAGACTGAATTCTTTTTTCTGGAATGATTTAAATGTTTAGTTGATTAATACATACAAACATAAAAACTCCACACACCTATCACCAAAATGGGTGGACAGACACTTCCATTTGGCATGATCCTGGCACACCTCTCTCGCCTCCTTCACATCCATAGATCTACGCATACATGCTTGTTAGTTACTGGTACCCTTTATTTGGCCTAAATTCAATATATTGCCAAACGATCGATAAACTTCCGTCTATGAAATCTCTTGACTACTCTGCTACTCAATTCTGCAGCATAAATTTTCTTTATCACATTCTCATCATTCATTATTTCCCTATGTCCAAATCAAGTTCACAACATCTTGCAAACCACAATTTTCTCTTATCACACCATTTAATACTGTTACGCGCTCAAATCGACAATACACTAGCGCCATCTAGTGTCAGGAACGAGAGCGAGGGGAGCATTGAGAAAATGACATCACAAATCACTCAACCGACAGCGCCTAGTCGAAACTCGAACGCTCGGTACCTTGCGCGTGTTTACTTGAACATTCTGGATATTTCTTTGCTAATTTAAATATATAGGCGCTGCAAGATGCGATCAAGGCAGAGTTGAACTCGGCGACACAAGCGAAGCTTCGGAGCGGAATTAAGTGAATTAGTGTGTTTAATTATTAGTGTTTTTAGTTTTAATTTGTGTAAAGTAAATTAAAGTGTTAATTTAGGTAATTTTATCGGCAATTTTTATTGTCACGAACCTCAAGCTCGTAACAATTGGTGTCAGAAGTGGGATTGAGAAGCGCACTTAACTGACGTGCGGAGAACCAACATTTATTAACCAGCTTGGTCGACTGGCTTCCCTCGAGACTGCTGACCCCCATCATCCAGTACCTGTGTACCTGTCCAATGACTGAGCTTTGGTCGGTTTTTTTGAAATCGTTTGTTTTGGAAATTATATTTAGATAGAAATTACATACTGATGAAATATGAATAATATTTTTTGATCTTACCGACATAATAGAAAAAACTGAAATTGTTATTTGAATAAAAAATCATGAGTGCAATTAGTTTAATTTAAATTTTCATGTTTTTAAAAAAATACTAAAAAAAGGGCTCGAAATAATAGATTTTCAAAAAAACAAAAAACAAAAGGGAACTTGAAAAAAAAGGAAAAATAAGTCGGACCATAGACAGGACCCGGACCAGGGTCCTACCATTTCGGGACCGCCCGATATCCATTTGAGCCATTATAACCATTAACGCACTGTCAAAATTTACCTTCTTATTCTAATGATAATAATAATAATAAATCTTTATTTCAGACCAGGGTCCATATTTGGTTAGTAGAAAAGAAAAAACAAAACAAAACGAAGAAAAAAAAAATGAAAAAATCAATCAATAAAAAGGAAAATAAATTAAAAATAAATCAAAATAAATTAAAATTAACTAAAATTAAATATAATTACTAACTACTACTAAGATTAACTAACTAACATTAAATACACACACGCTTGTTAGCATATGTGTGTGCACCATTCCAACTCCTCCAGAGTGGGCTGTCGAGTTTGCACGCCAAAGTGCTGAGAAGGGCATTGGTGCTGTTCACTAAACGGCCCATCATGGATGCAACACGTTTCCGGAAGATCGCGTAGAAGTCGTCTACACGAGCCTCCGCAAACATTGCAGATGCACTGCAGTGACGTGGCTTCCCCAATACCGCTCTCAGCACATTGTTGTACTGCACACGAAGAGTTCTGAAGGTCCGCTGCGTATAGTCCACCCACAGACTGCACGTGTAAAAGGTCTGGCAGTAGGCTCTAAACAGCGTTAATTTTACCTCTGCATTACAACGCGCAAATCTGCGGGCCAACATATTGCCCCGGACCGACAGCGCCCTTCGCTCCCTCTCTATATCACCGTCGTCCACTAGGCGCTCGTTAACTATATGGCCGAGATATTTGAACTCCGCCACCTGTTTCAGGGGAATACCACACAATCGTATGATTGGCTGAAAATTGGTGGGTTTGTTTTTTCCCCTGAACACAAGGAACTCGCTCTTTTTGGCGTTGTATCTGAGTCCATTTCTCTCAGCATAGTCCTCACAGATTTTAAGTAGCTTCCGGAGGCCACTGACCGAAGGACTAAGCAGAACCATGTCATCCGCATAGCTGATGTTGTTTATAAAGACACCATCAACTGAGCATCCGACACCAGCTCTGCTCAGCCCCTCTATCAGCTGGTTGACAAAAAGATTGAACAGCCTCGGTGACGTAAGCCCACCCTGCCTTACTCCACAGTTCAGCTTGTAGGGGTCACTCATAGCGTCTCCCCATTTTACTACATTTGACTGGTTACCGTACCAGTACTGCAACAACGATAACAGTTCCGGCCTTAGGCTCGTTTCCGTCCTAAGTTTATGCCATAGTACTTTATACGAGACAAGGTCAAATGCTTTTGACAGGTCCAAGAAGCACGCATACACTTGCGTTTTCCTGTCAGTGTAGTACCGTACAGTCTGCTTGAGACACATTATTGCGCTCTCGGTAGACAATTCGGGCTGAAAGCCGAATTGAGCGTCGTTAATTTTAGTAGCTTTCTTTAAATGTGTATCAAGCAGACTGTCCAGAACTTTAGCCACGATTGTCGCTAGGGATATAGGCCTGTAGTTGGACCTATCCGCTACATTGCCCGTCCTGTTCTTCACTATAGGCACGACCACCGTCATCATCATTGCATCCGGCAGGTGACCATGACTGACACAGAGGTTATAGAGCATGGTAAGGACTCTGGAAAGGTGCACTCCAGCATATCGCAAGTGTTCGACACTCAGGCCATCATGCCCCGGGGATCTCCCCCCGCTTCATACTCCTTATTGCGTCATTTACCTCACAAACAGAGAAGCTCAATGAGTCTACCCAAGGGTCTACGGTGTCCCAAGCACCGTCCACTGTTTGACCTACTATACTTAGGGGTTCCACCCTGAAGTGAGTCTTAAACATATTAGCAATGTTTTGACTCCCTGTTATGCCTCCCACTTCCACAGGAAGGCCCGCCCGTGCATTCAGTCTATTTGTTTGTTGCCAGAACCTACTAAACTGCTTAGTCTCGTGTGTAGAGGCTAAAATGTCCATTTTTAATTGATCTTCATGGTCCTGGCACCATTTTAGTTTATTTTTGAAAAGCCTACGAGACTCCCGCATATCGTCGTATGTAACTCCACTACTCGGCCTCCCAGCCATAACCCACGACTGAAAACACAGACGAGCTCTCCCGTGTAGTGGCCTTACATGTCTATTCCACCCCGTAATATAACCTTTTTTATTTCCCCTTACAATTTTATGACTAACTATTGCCCCTGACTGCAATATGCTTACAATATGAGAGTACATATTATCGATAACTAGTTTATGTTCATCTTTACAACAGGTTTTGCCACAACATTTCGTAAGCTCCATAGGAAAAACTACTTTACTTAGCTTCTCATCACAAGTTTTCGTAAATAGCTTAGTCTGGTCACTATCCCTCTGCCCCCAAAATATCTTATTATTAGAAACTCGAGATGATGGTACCAACTGAGTATGTAAGGGGTTTAAGTTACAAACAATTTCCAAAGGATAGTGATCAGACCACGAGACACTGTTATTTACGGTTATATTCTCAATGTAACCCCTAGCCATCCTAGTTACTAAACAATGGTCAAGCCAACGTGTACATCCGTGAACATCACTAATGTAAGTATACGTCTCCCCATTGTTTGGCAAAAGTTCAAAGTCCGCACAACACCATTTTTGTTCAACACAAAATTGCTGCATTTCATTAAAAAATAATTCACCTGGTTGAGCATTAAAGTCTCCTAATACAACTACCATACTAATACCACTGTCCTCAACAACCGCATTAATCTCGCTCAAACAGTCTGTGAATTCTGGCAAGTTGTCAGTACAGTCAGTAGGCATGTATACCGAGAATATCAACAGATCACATTCACGCAATTTACACTTTATAGCGCAGAGCCTCGCATTATTGCACTTCACAACAGATACCGCCGTAAACGCACTCTTACGCCATAACAGCGCGACGCCCCCGAAGGGACGGCCGCGTAACATGCCTGCACTCGTATCTACCGCTGACGTCCCTGTGGCTACAAACTCGTCATTAACAGTACTTAGGTAGGCCAAATCATGCGGTAGCAACCAAGTTTCCTGCAGCGCAACCACGTCCGCTGCCACACAAATACTTCTCACACTATCTATTGATCGCTTTAGTGACTTACAGTTAAAGCTAGTTAGCTTTAATTTATAATTATTCTCTCTAATTGACTTCTGATCCATCATTTTTACTAGGTTTATGATACTGTAGCAGTTTTTTATTGGCTTAAATCACGGATAAAACGACATTTTCTAAAAATGAATCTTAGCTAGATCGATTTATTGCTCCCGAAACCCCCTGGACACTAAATTTTACGAAAATCGTTGGAGCCGTTTCCGAGATTACGATTATATATATCTATTCAATCATACAGCATTAATTCTACTCTCATGATTCTTCGGCTACACCTAACTTTCACAACAATACATTATGGTAAAACTAAATCAGTAATTGTTGACTAAATACAACAACATAGTAATACTAATACAATAGAATAGGCTATAGAATAGACTTTTAATAATGTGAGTGGTAATTAAGATACAACCAACAACTTCTTATGCCTGCATGCCTAATGTATTAAGTATGGTAAGCCTCAATATATATTATATACTCATACACTGAAAAGACCGCTGCCTTCCACGAATCTGTGAAACTTACAGCGCTTTTTTCATCACCCATCAAATAAATAGGGTGAAAATAGTTCAGTGGAGTTGGCATAATGATTTCTTAAATTTACGCGAACACTACACATTGAATAAAACTAAATTTACGGATTTTGTCGCGTTTATTTCACTACTTTTACTTATTTTTAATTCCCGACGTTTCGGGTGCTTTACAGCAACCATGGTCACGGGGGGGACTGAGATGTTCGACGTCCCAATGTCATAGTTAGTCCAGCTACCTTCAGTTTTTGAATATTAATTTTTTTTTTGGTCCGATTTACGCAAAACGAGCTTATAGTATCATGAAGTCTTGCAGTGGTATGCTTAGGTTTGGGTTTAATTTTGTTAATTATAGGATCCCAAGCAGGTGGCAGCACCCATCCATCTTCTCTATTGAAATTTGGATGTTTTTTAATTTCAATAGCCTCGCGTATCATCCTTGGTAGGAATCGGTGTTCTTTTGCGAGAATTTGTGGTTTATCAAAACGAATGTAATGGTGAGGACGATCTTGAACATGTTCGCAGACTGCAGACTTCCAATGCAGAGTTGGCAATTAGAAAAAGGTTGGCCACTCCAAAGAGATCATTGTCTCAAATGAGATGTTCTCATGGTCTCCAATAGCTGGCGTCACAATGCTGCCAACGCTTCCATAGCAGTTGCCGACCAAGTTTTCCAATTGTGGCATATTCTATACTATATAATGGATCTAGAGGCAATGATGCAGCAGATGAACTGGCCAAAAGGGAATCAGTTCTAGCTACTACGGGCCGTCACCAATAATACCAATCCCTTTGGTTATGTTCATTTACTGGTACGTAGAAACCTCAATAATTTACACGCTCAGCTTTGGAAAAATTTAGTAGACTGTAGACAAGCTAGGGAAAACCCTGCCTGAAATAAACGGTCGTCTAACCAAGGTTCTGAACTGAAAATGAGACTGAACAAGCCACAGATCAGGATAGTAACAAGTGCCATCACAGAACATGCCTCCTTTAACAAACATTTATTTACCATAGGTGTTACAGATAGCCCCCTGTGCAGAGAATGCACGTGGGATGAACAAACGGTGGCTCACGTGTTGCTGACACGTCCGGAGGTCGCTTCATACAGGGCTAAACATCTCGACACGCCGGGATCTCTCCCCGAAATTGCTTACAACATCAAAGAACTGTTGAACTTCGGGGAGATTTCATTGCTCGAATAATCAGATTATTCTTGCCCACACGCAAAATACGCGCTTAGACGTGGAATTGCGGAAAACAGCCCGTCGTAAACTAAACTAGACTTCTGGCTACTACTGAGAATTTCTCGACAGAAAAAACCCAATAGTTCTCACAGGTTAACAAGGCAGTCGATGTCAGTATTTTTGGATTCTATCTTTATCTATAGAAAACACTATAGTGCCACAAACATATGCAATACGGAAGAGGCTTTCACTTATCTTCATCCAACCCTGTTTGATGCAATTCTACTACAATAAGATTAATGATTTGCTAGAGAATCAACAATTCTTTTGACACAAATATTGACCTAGACTGGGATTGAAAGTTGATCTGGGCCTCTTCTGTTGGAAGGATTTGCCTCAATCTTCACACTTGGTGGGCTGATTTTTGATCACATCCATCATAATCTTCACGGGTTTATCGTCACCCGTGAAGATTATGATGGAATGCCTCGTTTCCAGTGAAAAGGGTCTCCGGTTCTCTATAGTCACCATAGGAAACACAGCAGAATAAAGCTAGTATTTCACACTGGTATTCTTTGAGAGTGTGGTCCTTCCCCGTTCGAGCCGACCCATTCGTGCTACAACTATACTACTAATATAACTGCAGCATGGCTGTACCACATATAAAATATTGTGAATCTGGATATTTTACGTCTATTGTGAACAAGACGGTTATATTACCATCTATTGACCATATCATTCATACAGCATGTCCCATAGTCACCTCTTATCACATCCACAGGACTAAATGGTGTGATGGATTTTTTTACCTACCCCTCCAACATGACATCATGTACACAGATAATGAATAAAATTTGATTAATACCAATTGGAAATCCGGCTGGTGTAGTAAAAATTGAGCTTGTTGGATTTGTTGTTGGAATCTCCATGTTTTTTTTAATATACTTCTACACTCCCAACACAATAATACAGCATACTCAGGACCCTGTAACAGGATTGCAAGGGATTAATTAATAAATGCAACTGTTACCATTACCTCTGCAGCCTGTTAAAAGTCCACTGCTGAACATAGGCCTCCCCCATAGGTGGGATATTTGCCATAGTTGCCGCGGTTTGCAAGCGTGTTGGCAACTGCTGTTTTCTAATTTTGACAATTTTAGTCATTGGTTGCGTTTGGCAGAAAAAAGCAAGCGCTTGTAAGCAAAATGGCGATCGTAAGCGGTAAGCGCTGTCAAATCGTAAGTAGCTATCTTCCTCTAGGACACGATGTTAGTTTTAACCGGGGAACCTAACCTAATTTAAATATATGTTTGTGAAGTATTCATATTAAAAACTTACCAATCATGAATTTTTAATAGCATGTATATGTCTATTCATGTTATTATATTACTTAAAACTAATATTGCAAAAAACAAATTATAATTTCTACTTCAAAACAAACAAATTTAATAAGCAAAATGGCGGATTGTGTCAGCGCTACTGAAGTAGCAATCGTGTCCTGGCCGAAAACTATTTTAGCGCTAGTAAGCGCTTTTTTCTGCCAAACGCACCTATTGTTAGGAAGATGCTGCTGCCCTTATCCTGATTTGTTTGCTTTTGTCGGCTTTTACGACACATGGAATTATATGGGGTAGTGGATATTTTTACACCGCCACTACACTGTACTTGGTGATAATTGCAACAATCGACGGGAGTCACACATGGAAAATCGGCACATATATAGTTTAATGTTTTAAAAATTTTTTCTTGAATAACTTCTTCTTCTTCTTTTAAATTATGGCTTCTCTTGATAGAATTCTGCCAGTGTCAAGTCAGTCATGTTAATAATAGTTAAAATAAGAGTTCTCAATTTAATGAGTGGGTTCACAATCTACAACAAAAGACGTCACATATTTAAAATACCATCACCAAAGTTGTTAAGTAATTTTAGAGTTTAATATTAATAGTACGAATAAAAGCACATAAAATATTTACGAAGGGAGTATACACTAGGGTCAGCAAAAATTGGAAATTTACTGGACGAGAGATGTAATTGGGCAGGATATCGTAGAGAGAGAAAGAAAGTTTAGGACACTCAAAGAACAGATGATTGACAGATCCTTCATCTAGGCCACATTCACAGATTGAGCTTTCCCTAATCCTGAGTTTGGCCATGTGTACAGGAGTACAAGCATGACCAAAGCGTAAGCGGCAAACAGTAGAGGTGGTAGCTTTACTAAAGTGGCGATATTGAAAAAAACCAGGGTTTCGATGGGATATTCATTTGGACTTTGGAATAGTGATTACATTTTAAAAATTTTGACTGATGCCAATTACCTTGCCAAGAAGACAGAGGTCATGTGCATAGAGGCATTGTCTAGGGATAGAGCCAGATTTTGTGGCATCCTTAGCTAAATTATCAGCAAATTATCTTACTAGTATATTGATGCCTGTAATCGTAATTAATATGGAAAATTTTGTTACACGTTTTTCCGAGAATAAAGATTTTATTATTATTATTTTTATTTAATTTCTTTGCCCTGAATTCCACAGTGGCTAGGGATCCAAGCCTATACAATGTTCAACCCTTTTTTATGACAATAGTACAGAGACTTTCTAATATTTAAAATTAGCGGGTATCTAATCTTAGAGTGAAAAGAACTGGATACAATACTTTGAAGGCAACTAAGGGAGTCCGAGAAAATGAGGATCCTTTTCAGACCATGTGATTCTGCATATGAAACTGCCTCTAAAATAGCCAAAGCCTCACCTGTGAATACAGATGAGTCAGGGGGGAGAGTTAAAATTTTAAATAATCCTGTATTTAGGGATCCACACTGCAGAACCTACTAATCTATCGTCACTTAACTTTGAAGCATCAGTGTACATAGTTAACCAATCATGCCAATTTTGGAGGAGGAGCATATTTAATTTGTTATTTGCTTCAATAGTATTTTTATCTATTCCGATATATAGAATAATGTCTGGATTGAAAATTAGAGCCTCGTATGGGATATTGTAAAGTGGGTTACTAAGGGATTGATAAATTGGAGAGGGAATGTTGAACAATTTAATATAACTTTTTATAATGCATGGCAAATCCTTGTGAGACCAATATGGGGAGTCCCTGACCAACCGATACAAGGAATGAAGTTTGGAAATGAGAGGGTGGAGTAAATAACACTCTACTTTAAATAAGAACCTATCTGAGAGATATTGCCTGCGTAGATATAGGGGGGGCTCAACACATTCAACTTGAAGAGCGAGAATGGGAGTGGATTTCATGCTACCAGTTATTATATGTAGACGTTTTGACTGGATTTTGTCCAAGGTATTAAGAGCCATTTTGCTACATGGCTCTAGTAAAAAGCACCCATAATCAAAGTGACTTCTAATTAGAACATTGTATAAAAGCTTTTGTGAGTTGGTGTGAGAACCCCACCAAGCACCTGATAGAGATCGAATTATATTGAGATTTTTTTCACCTTTGGAGGCAATATATGATAAGTGAGGAATTCCTGTCATTTTGTTATCCAGGATAACTCCTAAAAGTTTCACTTGATTTTCAGTGGGGTTTAGAGTATTATCAATGTAGATGGGCACTTCTGGAATATACCTTTGCCTAGAGAAAACCACAGTACTGAATTTTAAAGGAGACATTGATAAACCATGTTACAATAGCTGAATGATTTGCAGAGCAGAAAAGACAGGTTGGGGAATCTGTAGGACAATTATTTCTGGTGTGCTCTTTGCTGCATTTAAAGCATCGTGGTTTCGATCGACATTGGGCTTTGACATGTCCAAAATGGCAACATTTTAGAAATTGGATAGTAGGAAGAAGGTAAGTTTCAACTGGTATAGAAGCATAAAAGAAATATACATGGGAGGGGAGCACTTGTCCTGAGAAGGTGAGGACAACAGTTTGAGTTGGAACCCACTCCACTTCATCACCTTTTTTGACCTTTCTGTTAAATCTTCTGGTTTTAATGATTTCTCTCAGACTCGCCTACTAATTCCCCCATAGAAATGTCAGTCGGAATACCCCTGATCACACCCATACGGGTAACATTAAAAGTTGGAATGACAGCAGAAAGTTTATAAAGCGAGAGAAACTCCGAGTCAATAAAATTATTGGCATCAGAAGCAGTTTTAAAAGCAATTGAAATTCTGTTGCGCCCTAAAATTTTGATACCCTGTTTTTCAATATTGGCCACTTTATTTTGAGTAAGGATATGACCAATTTTCACTGGTCTAATTGTATAACCTGCTGATGGATCAGGTTCTGAGCGGCTTAAATGTATAACAAATGGGCCTTTATAGCTATCTACATAGTTTTTTATCTTGGAAGTCAGGGTGGACGTATGTATTTTGGTAGGAGGCAGAAGGGTGATCTTCGTGCCCTATTTTTTTCTTTGGGAAGTTGGGTAATGGTAAGGAATCCGTGAGTTTACGTTTAGCAGGGCCAGAATCACCGGATAAATCTGGTGGTTCAGCATCTCCTCCGTCAACCTCCATCATCGCACAAATCTACATTCACTAACTAAAAATACTACTCACCTACTAACAAACAGAACACAGAGAGGCAACACACAGAAAATTGAGAGGTTTTGCACAACTTTGAATCGAAAAAAAGGTTAAAAACCTATTTCAATATAAAAACATGTGTAACCACCAATCACTCAGACAAATCTCTTGAAGAACTTAGCATAAATTATTTAGTGTAATAATTAAACTTATAAATAGTTCAAGCTTACTTCAGGTAACAACTAGATGTTGTCTAAATAATTCCTTTAAAAACCTTTACTGCCTATTTTGCCACCCTAAGTTTTATATGGGATCATCCCTAAAGTATAAAGTATTTAATAAAATAGCATGATTGAAAATGGTTCAGCCACTTTTGAGAACTCAGAGAAAAGAATCAATGAATATATTAACTGCGCGCAGAAAGTTTGCCCATGATGTCATGATGTCACATGTCGATGGTTAGTATGGTTGACAAAAATATATCTTTCTAAAATAGTGGTTGCAAATGCAATATATCAATAAAGGAAAGATTACTAATAAAAAAGTTATAGTGTCTACTAAGATGGTAGTAACAAAACGTTAGAACCTTTAAAATAAAAACATGTACGCCACCAGCGTTAGGCTGTTGCTTTACCCGTTTTGATAAAAAAATAATACTAACATAAAACAAACAAAAACTTAACATGAAAACAATGAATAGTTTCGGAGCAAGAGCAATTAATTCAAAGATGTTGCATGTGTGAGCACTCGACTATGTTGTTAACGGTACGAACTAGGCGACTGTGGGACGCGGTCAGCGGAGGTGACAGGGTACTCATCAGCAAACTTTCAGCGCATGGCTAACAAAAAATTGGAATCAAATATAGAAAACCTCGGCTTTTTAAACTTGTGTAAAAATATAATTCACTGCTAAATATCAATTATTTGAAGTTTTAATCATGAATGGCTTGAAGCTACCTGCAAACTCAGAAATTTGTGGGTTCGAATCCCCCCTTTTGGATGAGCATTTTAGTCTTTCCTGTTGTGGTTCAACAGTATCTTTTTGAATGGGTCATTGCTTAAATGTTGCAGCCAGTGCAGCTTGTATTTACTGCCCGGGAGAAATAATTTACTTAATTTCGTGTTTTCTTTAAATATTAGGTTATAATGTTATGGTTTATATAATAAAATATAACAAACATGTTTATGTTATCTAAATTTCTACATTACTGCTAAAAGCTAAGTATAATTGTAATTTATATATGTGGTAGAGCTTAATAGCTAGAGCTAAATAGTAGCTTAATGCTGCTGTGTTTCGTATGGTGAGTATAGAGAATCGGAGATCCTTCTTACTGGAAACGAGGCATTCCATCTTAGTCCTCACAGGTGACATGCATCTACATTTTGATTTGTAATCGAGGATGATGATATGTAGATGTCAATGGGCCACAGCAACCACATACCATAAGGTGGACTGTGTGCTCGTTTGTCACCTTATACTATATAAAAAAATTAAAGTATTTAAAAAATGGCTGAAAATGGTGGGAATTGAATCGCCACGATGGATGCTGGTTACTGACAATAGATATTTGACACAGCCAGGATGGATGTTTTGATTGTTGAGCGGATATTTAAATTAGATTTTACACGAAGACAAATGTTCTCTCCTCATAGTGGAGATATTTGCCATAGTTGCCATGCTTGGGTTGGCATTTACAGTTTTTACTATTAAATAATTGAGTTGTTATAAGTAAAATGCTTCTGCACATTTCCTTTTTCTGTTTCCCTCCATCACCTCTTACACCAACAGTACTATTTGGGGTAATGAAAATTCTAACACTACCTCTACATTGTGAATATTATGCTAATTGTGTGATTATTTTTTGGGTTTGTTCCAAAATACAACACAGTACACTGTCGAATGCGAATCATGTCATAAATCGAGGCCATATTGGTGAACCGTTGTATCGAATATGGTGGAATACGACGTCAATTAATGACGTCTTTTGCATTAGACAGTGTACTGTGTTGTTTTTCGGAACATACCCTTTATTTAACAATATTAACTTAAGAAAGTGAGAAAAAGTATTTATTTGTAATCACAATATCAACATATAGCCGAATAGTAAGGTGTGATAGCAGTTTGGTTTTCCATTTCATTAAATTGCATTAGTTTGTAAAATGCTGCAGCACTTTTTTTAAATAATGACTATGTTGGAGTGTAGAATATTATCACCCATATCATCCCATGAGTGTCGCAAGAGGTAACACAAGGAAATAAACAGCAGTATCTTTCAAATAACTTCTAAACAATAGACACAGCAGTTTAGCAATTCACCCCAAGTGTGTACCAAACATGGCAACTATGGTAAAAATCCCCCTATGAAGCAATTTCCACAATGACCCTTACAATATCTACCATATCTAAGCAACGAGTATGTTTTTTTACATATAAAACACACTTGTTGCATTTGAAATTGTACATTTTACGTCAGTAAGAAATAATTTCTAAATATAAATATAAGCTACATATTTCCACCATGTAATATTTTAGGACTAGAATAACAAAATAAAATTTAGCCCTCGCAAAATTTTGAACCTTCAAATGTAAAAATTGAAGGGAATGAAACGAAATAGGCTTTATTTAAATATTAAAGGCGATTTGTTTTATATTACTAAAGAATAATAGTAACACTATCAATATGATTACCACTCCTGTTACCATAATAATTTCCTGTTAAAATGCTCATCCAAAAGAGGGATTCGAACCCACAACTTTCCAAGTTTGCGGGTTGCTTCAAGCGATTCACGATTAAAACTTCAAATGATGGTCCACAGTATGATTTCGATTTTTATTATTTACGATGAAGAAGATAGCAGTTTATCATATTGATTTACAAAACGATTATCCTTACTTGAAATTTAGAAAGCTGGCAAAATAAATCTAATAAATCACCCACAGGAGAGATATTTCGATCAGAACTCAAACAACCATGGCAAGTACTTTTTGAAATATCTATTTCCAACTTAAAGATATTCATTTTAAATAATTATACCATCTTTAAATTATATTATATTAAAATGTTTGTAGTAACACTAAATGCATAAAATCAAACCACAACATTCACAATTTCACAAACAAAAATCCTGCAAAAATCAAATAGTGTGATGTTGTGTCGATGTAAAAACACCACAGAACACTATTTTTCAGTTTATACAAAGGTACTCTGTGCAACATGCAAGATGCAGTCAATGAGTCATAACAGTCTCTAGTATATATACAGTAGGTAGTCTGTGGTCAGTTTAAAGTCGGTTGGGTCAACTGAACGTCAATAACGGTTTTACGCGTTTTTGGTGTCATTTTAATTATTTTAAGTTTTCTTGTAATATTCTGATTACATTCCTTATATATTTTAGTATATATTAATAATATTTATTTGCATTTTCATATTGTATCTCATTTAGCGACAATTTCATACTATCACAAAATAGTTTAACGTAGCCTTAGTCTCTCGGTCGCCATGTCTAATCCAATTCCGCCTAAGCCACCGGATCCGAATTATTCTGACACTAACATTATTTCCTCACCAGCTGCTTATGTGGAAATTGAAAATGATTTAGAAGGTTCATTTAAAAAACCACGGCAGTCATTATCGCAAGAAATTTTTGATGACAACTTCAAAATTATTTCAAACAAAAAGAAAAGAAAACATAAAACGAAGGAAAGGAAGAAGGAAGAGCATGCTAATCGGGTTGACATAAATAGAAGAATTTCAGCTTTTTCCACCAATTCCTCATTCTCAGAATCGGACTGCGATACTGGTAATACTTCATCATCTAAAATTAAAATTGTAGGCTCTAACTCTATCAAAAGCAATATGTCAGGACAACGTGCTTATGAATCTCCCATGTCTTTATCATCCAATATTGCTTGTACACAATCATCTGAAATCCTTCTTTCACAATCATCTGGCATTCCTCTATCACAAACATTAAATTCTGCCAATAGTTATATCTCTTCTAAATCTCTTAACACGCATATTGATAGCGATAATAAAAAAATAGAGTCACAAAGATTCCAATCTCTTCGTTCTTATAATTCTACAGATTCAGGTCCTTTTATCGTTCATGTTCAAGTAAAAGAAGACTCTCCTAATTCTGGAAAAACTTTAAACGCCATTTCATTTGGTCACTTTTTGAAAAAATTAAATGTACAAAATATAGTTAATGGAGGCCTAAAACGTATCGGGAGAAATAGAATAACGGTTGAATTCTCTAAATTTATTGATGCAAATCTATTTTTAGAGAATCCATCCGTAAATGATAAATATAAAACCTTTATTCCATCATTTCACGTATCTCGTATGGGAGTTATAAAAGGTGTACCAAAAGATTGGACACCAGAAGAGATTATTTCCGAATTATCTTCGTATCCAAATACCATTCCTGTATTAAAAGTAAGAAGATTAAATTACCGAGTTCGCAACGAGGACAAAGTCAGATATGAAAGCTCTGAAAGTGTCGTAATCACATTTGACGGTCAAATTCTTCCCTCGAGGGTTTATTTATGCTATTCTTCCATTCCTGTTGAAATTTATAAGCTTCCAACGATCCAATGCTTTCAGTGCTGCAGATTTGGACATACTAAAGATTTATGTCGTTCCAAGCCAAGATGCTCAAAATGTGGAGGTGATCACTCCTCTTCTTCTTGCGACAAAGATAATGGATCTTTTCGTTGCTTATTTTGCTCAGGTAACCACAAAGCCACAGATTCTAGATGTCCTGAACACACAAGACAAAATAATATTAAAATTGAAATGGCACAAAAGTCTATCTCATACCTAGAAGCATCTCAAAAATATCCACAAGTTTCTTCAAAATCATACGCTGATGTTTTGATTTCTAAATTCCCTGAAAATTCTTCGCTTTCTACTAATCCTTCAGTGAATAATTTTCCTTCCAACCCCGCTACATCTAATAAAACTTCTTATAAGAAATCATTATATATTCCTAAACCATTACGTCACCATTCACAAACAGGATACGACAAAAAAAGTCATCAAAAAATTATTGAAGATTTTTCAATTCCGCAACCTGAGGATGGTTGTGCTCTTCGGGTTTCACCAGTTACTTCACAGGGTAATTTTGATTCTGTAGAAAGCATTATAAGTTTCCTTATTAACATAATCATATCTTCGTATTCTTCGAAGCTACCGTCCCACGTTGCTCGCTTACTAAATTCTATACCTAAAATTCTCCAAGACATTCACTCTCACAAAGATCCTTCAATGGAATTGTAGAAGCATTTTAGATAAACGTACTGAAATAATCTATTTATTAAAAAAATACAATGTGTGTATCGCTGCTATTTCAGAGACATGGCTAAAACCGGATTCGAATATCAGAGTACCTGGTTTTTGTCTTGTTCGAAGTGACAGATCTGATGGTTATGCCGGATGTGCCTTGCTTATAAAAAATAATATAACTTATTCCATTATAGATGTTTATGATGAAATATTTGACTTTAATATTGTAGCAGTAAGAATTCAAAATATAACTTTCGTTTCTATTTATGTTCCCTCCCCTTCTGTCCATACGTTTCGCAGAATAAAATCTTTAATAGCCTCCTTACCCAAACCATTTATAATTCTTGGTGACTTTAATTGTCATCATTATTTATGGGGGGATAATACTGATAAATACGGTAGTTTATTAGTTGAAATAATTGACGAACTTAATATTGGTGTCCTTAATACTGGTAAAATTACCAAACGCTCTCGTCCTAATGAGTCTAGAAGTGCTGTAGATTTATCAATTTGTACTCCTGATTTAACCACTCTTCTAAATTGGTCAGTTCTAGATAGCTCTCACGGCAGTGACCATTTTCCCATTCTGATTTCCTTTCCAAACAAAGAATTGGCAGAAATTAACAAAAAACCATGTATTAAATACAAATTAGACAGAGCAGACTGGAACCTGTACAATATTTTTCTTTACAATGAAATTCTAAAAATCGCTCCTATTTCTGAAAATAATATAACTTCTATTGTTGAAGCATTTACAATCGCAGTTATAAATGCAGCAGATCAAACAATTCCTGTTAAAACTCTAAATAATAAATGTAGGCCCTCCCCTCCATGGTGGGATTCTGAATGTACTGAGGCCATTCGTAATAGGAAAAAAGCCGAAAAACAATATAAATTAGACATGAGTTCGGAAAACTATTCATACCTTCAACGTGTGCAAGAAGTGACTAAAAATACTCTTCGCACAAAAAAAACAAACACGTTGGCATGCCTTTTGTTCCTCAATTTCTCCTTCAATACCTTCATCAGTTGTTTGGCGTAATATTAGAAAATTTCGCTGTTGTTTTTCATCTTGTTCTTAGAGTGGTGCCATTCCCTCTCAATCTATAAACACTTTTCTAGATAAACTTGCCCCCCTCTTCTGCTCCTTTGAGAGAGGAGCTACCTCAAAGTATTCCAAGTGATTCTTTTTTTGATCCCTTAGAACGTCCATTTTCTTTATATGAATTAAAGCTCGTCCTTTCTCACGTTCAAGATTCAGCTCCTGGTTTAGACGGTATTCCATATTCACTACTTGCCAAATGTAATGATCAAATTTTATCCTACTATTTAAATATCATTAACGTTTTGTTTGACATAGGCTTTGTTCCTGACTGTTGGCGGACTCAAGTAATTATTCCTATCTTGAAACCTGACAAAAATCCTAACGACGGCTCTTCTTATAGACCGATCGCTCTATCCTCAACTCTAATTAAAACCTTTGAACATATGATCAAGAACCGTCTTGAATGGTATGTAGAAAGTCATGGATTGTTATCAAATTCCCAATATGGATTCAGAAAAGGTAAAAGCACATATGACAGTCTTTCTATCTTCACCACAGATATTAGACTAGCATTTTCGAGAAATGAGTCGGTCCTTGCTGCTTTCCTTGACATTTCTTCTGCTTACGATAATGTCAGACTCAACATCCTTAGAGAAAAGATGTTTAAGCTTAATATATCCAAAAAACTTACAAATTTGATTATCAATTTATTTCTAGATCGATATATACATATTAAAATTGATGATGATCTAAAACATACTCGAAAGGTTTTCAAAGGCCTTCCACAAGGCTCTGTTTTAAGTCCTTTATTATACAATATTTATACGTCAGATTTGGACCAGTCTATTTCAAAGTGTAGAATTTTGCAATATGCTGATGATATCTTAGTTTATGTTAATGATAAATGTATAGAATCTTGTGCTAATGCGATAGAACAAGATCTCCTCTCTATGGCCTCTTGGTTAGATGATCATGGGCTAGAACTTTCCCCAAATAAAAGTAATACAGTAATTTTTTCTCGCAAAAGAGTTTTACCTGAAATCCAAGTTCGCCTTTTTGATTATCCGCTCGTAAATATTCAACAAGTTAAATTCCTTGGTGTAATTCTTGATAATAAATTATCCGGCATGCCTCATATAATTTATACCCAAAAAAAAATGCGAAAAAAATATAAACATTCTTAGAGCTTTGTGCGGGGTATGGTGGGGCGCTCATCCATATTATTTAAAATTAATTTATAATGCAATTATAAGAAGCCGATTAGATTATGCCTCATTTCTTCTTGAACCAACTAGTAAAAAAGGATTAAAAATATTAGATATCATTCAACACAAGTCTTTAAGATTAATTATAGGCGCTATGAATTCGTCGCCTATCAATGCCTTGCAGATTGAATGCGGTGATCCTCCACTTTTTATTAGACGACAATATTTATCGGATTCCTTTTTTTATCGGGTTCTTCAATTTTCAAACCATCCATTACTCCCTAAAATTCGTTTGCTTTCTCAGTACATTTCAATTAATTCAGGAAAATACTGGCGTAATAAAGAAACTCCTAACCTAGTTAAAAGCTATGAACATTATAATTCCTTACTAGATCCTATTTATAGGTCGGCGACTCTGCCTCTTTTCTCCAATTCGTTTGAAGTTGCACTTTTCAAACCCAATGTTATATTAGATATAGGATTAA